GTGTCTGAGCGCCCTGGCCAGTCCAGACCTCTGGCTCCAGCCCACGTTTTCCCTGGGTTTCCATATAACGCCAGGCCATCCTTGGGTTTAGTCAGAACGGCCCCTGGCATCTGGGCTCTGGAGTCACCTCTGTGGCCTGAGGCGTCCTGGGCTGGTCCACGGGAGCTCCTCAAGGGTGGGTGCTGTGTCCTTTCCAAATCTGCACCCCGGGGGGGACACAGGACCTGTCCTGAGTGGCCATAGGGTTTGGAGAATGAATTCTTGGGGCCCGGCGGGGAGAGGGGCATGAGTGTGTGGATGACTGAATTTGGGCGAAGTAGGTGGTCGGGTGGACACAGCTTTGATGGACGTGGGCTGGATGCACGTTGGCGTGGAATGTGAAGACGGCTGCCTGCTTGGTGGGTGGGCGGACAGGGCAGCAGACAGCGGCTCTTGGTTGATGAGCGGGTGGACGGGTACGTGGACAAGCGAATGGGGGCTACACAGATGGTACGTTGGCTGGCTGGGGAGCAGCTGGCATGGTGCCAGAGGAGGGGCAGGACAGACACAGGAAAGCGGGTGGCAGTGGGGGGGGATGAGCCACGGGTGACTCCGTGAGGGGCGCCCACAGCGACCATGGTGGGCATGGTGTGGGGCTGGAGGGTGGGCAGCGTGGGGAAGGCAGGGTGGTGGGGGGTTCTGTGCAGGGTGGGTGTGAGGGTGCAGGTGGTCAGGCCGGGTGGACTGGCTGACGCGCCGCACAGGGTGTGCCTGCGTGGCTGGGGGTGGGTTTGGGGAGTGGGGTGCATGGTCCTTTCAAACACAGGTGGCAGGTGGACGCGGGGAACTGGTGAGTGGTGGGGGGGTCAGCCGGGAGGGTGAGGGTCAGGGTTAGGTGGGTTTACCTGGCTTGAGTGTTGACCTTGCTCACTACCCGAGAGTACTCCCTCAGGGCGCACAGCAGCCCGATCTTGGTGGTGAGGAGCTTGTTGTTGGGGAGCTGGTACAGCAGCTGCTCGCCTGGCGCGACAGAGCCCTGGGCAGCCCCTGGCCGCTGCAGCACCACGGCCGCTGCCTCACAGCTCTCGCGGCACGGGCAGGGTGTGGCCTGGACCCTCCCGGCCCCAGCTGGGGAGCCCGCGCCCCTCCCGCTACCTTCCCGGAAGCTGCAGTAGCTGTCGCGGCATTTGACCTCGCACCACTTCAGCTTGTAGTCCTCGCGGCGGCTATCCTGGGTGCGCTGCCAGCCCTTGCTCTTGCAGTAGGAGCTGATTCTGCAGGGGTGGGGGCAGCAGTGACCTGGGGGCGTGGGTCCCAGGGGAGGGGCTGCGGGGCACAGGCGGTGGCGAGGCCCTGGGGGCAGGGCTGGGATCCAGAGCAGGGGTCAGCTGAGCCCACTCACATCGAGGCCCCGTTGCTGCCTCCGATGTAGAAGACGGGGCCCTGCCCGGTGACAGGCGGCTGCTTCGGCCCCTCCAGCAGGAGCTCCTCCAGGAGGGCAGCCGGGGGCCTGGCGGCATCCTCGGTGTCCAGGAGGTCTGCAGCAGGCAGGTGGTCAGCAGCCAGGGCCTGGCTGAGGCCCCCCCACCCCGCCCCCGCCAGCCCTCAGCCCTCACCTGCATCTCGGTCCAGGAGGCTTGGCTGGCGCAGGAGCCCCTCCTCCCGGCGGCTCCCCATGGGTCTCTCATGGGCCCAGCCTGCAAACAGGGTGGGGGCTGGTCCGGGCTGGGGGAGCCGCCCGGGCAGAGCCCGGCCCATGCCCAGCCCTGGTGGCCAGCCCCTCTCTAGCGTCTCCAGGCCAGTCACCCTGTGCATCTGGGCCCAGATCTGACCAGAGGACCTGGGAATGGGCACATCTGGGGACACAGCCTTCAAGTGGGTGGGGTGGGGTCGGGGGGCCAGGAGCTGGGGCAGGGGACACAGAGGGCCCCACCCTCACCCTCTTCACCAGCAGAGCAGCGGCTCTGTGCAGGGGAGGGGCTGGGGTGTGGGGAGGAGCTGGGTGCTGGCCAGGTGCAGGGATGTGCCAAAGGGCAGGGGTCACAATGTCCATGATGATGTCATGGCCCACAGGCCATGGTCAGGCAGCCGACAGGGCACTGCCCTTCCTGGGGCAGGCAAGGCTGCACCCACCGTGGCTGCTCGTGGGATGGCGCCGGCCAGGCAGTCCCAGCCGTGGAGGGCAGCGTGGTCCCCGCAGTGCCCACTGCGCCTGGCTCTGCTTGGTGGCCCAGTGTCCACAGCCACCAGGGCTCCTGCGGCCCCTCTCCAGCATGGGGGCCTGCCTGGCCGGCTGGGCATGGCTGTGTGTGGGTCTGGTGCCCTCCCCATGAACTCGCCTTCCTTGGGGATGGGGCGCTTGTCCCCGGGGGCCCTGGTGGGGGGTGGGGCTGCTGCATGTTCACCTGGTGCCTGGGCACGGCGCCGCCGCATCCGAGACCGCTCGCTCCTCTGGGAGCCGACTGGGATCCAAGTGGGGTGTCCCCAGCGGTGGATGAACCGCGTGCGGCTGCGGGCTACCGGGATTGGGGCGCCAGGGCGACGACCCCGCTGGGCAGATGCCGCCCCAGCCCCCCTGCGGGGCCCCTGGGCTGCCCGAGGTCCCGGGCTTTGGGCGAGGTGCACGCCCAGGCCCTCCGTGCCCGGGGAAGGTGGCCTCTGTGGGCTGTGGACTTGGGCCTCCACCTGTGGCTGGCTCCTGTCTCCGTGGTGGCTGAGGGGCCTGGCGCCTTGTGGGGGCGAGGCCATCTCTGCGTCCTGTCTCTGCCGGGCGAGTCCAGCCTGGCCGGCACTGTCCGTCTGGCCTCGCCGAGCAGGGCCTGGGTGCCGGCTGCAAGGAGGGCAGCCGTCAGCGCGCTTGGAGGGCCCGGGGTCGGAGGGATCTCCGCCCCTGAGCAGGGGTCTGCCCAGCCATGGCCCCTCTGCGGCCGCTGGCTGCCCCACCCCCCAGGGCAAGGACCCTACTCGCGCCCCGCCTGGGATGCTCTGGCCTCCCCAAACCTTCCCTGAGTTGCCAGCCTTGGAACATCCTGGGGAATTTTTAGCCAATTGCGTGAAGGCTCCTTTGGCCTCGAGGTCAAGCAAACCCGTTTGGGGCTGAGCGGGAGGCAAGCACTTCGTTTGGAAGCCCCCAGCCGAGGCCAGGCAGCTGCAGGACAGGGATGCGGGGCGCTCGCCTGAGGCTCCACTGGGAGCTGGTTCTTCCCCAGAGAGGAAAACCCGTTGTGAACCAGCCTGCGGGGCACCCAAGAAACACCTAAGCAGAGGGCGTGCAGGGCGCTAGCTGGACAAGGCCTTCGTGTCTGCCCCCGCCCCCACGGGAGCGCCGGGGAGGAGTGGGTGCGAATAAGCCCGCAGATGGCAGGAAGGCCATTCCGGGCGGGGTGGGCCTCTGGGAGGAGTCGGACACGGCCACACCAGGCACTGCTGTGGGCGCCGTGCACCGCTGCCTGGTGTGCGGAAACGCAGGGATCCCCACCCGAGACCCCTCCCCACCCAGAACAGGACCCTCGGGAGAGGCTGAGGGTGGGGTGGGCCTGGCCCTGCACTGCCAGGGAGCAGGAGCCTGCAGAGTGCGGGCGGGGGCGTGTGTGTGCGTGTGTGTGTGTGACTCTGTGTTGATGGGAGACCCGGCCCTTGCCACTGGGCCCCAGCATGGCAGGGGCGCCGAGGAGGCCCAGGACTGACTGACCAGTCCCATGTCCCAGCCCAGGGGCTACCAGGCTCACCCGGCATCGGAGGGAGGGGCCCACGTGAGCCAGAGCAACACACACACCTACGCACGCAGACACACACACACACACACACACACGCATAGACTTCTACGCACACAGACACACCCACACACACACACACACACGCATAGACTCCTACACACGCAGACACCACTCACACACGTACCTACACATGGAGACACATGTATACACACAGACACATGTGTACACACACACCTACACACGCAGACACACCCACACACACACACACATGCATAGACTCCTACACACGCAGACACCACACACACACACATACCTACACATGGAGACACACGTATACACACAGACACATGTGTACACACACACCGACGCACGCAGACACACCCACACACACACACACATGCATAGACTCCTACACACGCAGACACCACACACACACATACCTACACATGGAGACACATGTATACACACAGACACATGTGTACACACACACCTACACACGCAGACACACCCACACACACACACACATGCATAGACTCCTACACACGCAGACACCACACACACACATACCTACACATGCAGACACACCTGCACACACACACAGATACGCACAGACACACCTGCACACACGACACACCTGCACTCACCCACACACACACGCACTGACACGCAAGCACAAGCACACACAGGCACACACAGAGGAGGTGAGCAGGGCGCTGCAGGCATGACACAGGTGGAGGGAAACCCACCAGAATGTGGGGGAGACGACACCCCCAAAGGGAGCCGGGTGTTTTTAAACGAAGGAAGAGACTGCGAAAGAGCCCCTGGGAGCTGAAACTGCAGCGCCAGGGTTTGCACTGAGGGCGGGACGTTGCCCAGAGAGGAGCTTCTGGGTGAGGGGCTGCAGGTGGGGGCCGGTCTGAGGCCCCCACGCGGGGCCACGGGTGTCTGCGAGGCGGGAGAGGGCAGCGGAGGCAGCGCCGCACGCGCCCAGCTGGGGACGTCTGGAGCCGTGGGACGCGGCTGGAGCGCCGAGAAGGACTGGCGGAGGAGGGAGCCCTCGCAGCCCCCGGTCTCGTCACTGCAAAGTGGGCTGGGAGGAGCAGCGGCCCAGCAGGGCCCTGTGACGACGGGCAACGTGACGCACGCACCAGGACTGTGCCCGCCGCACACCCGGTGCTCTGTGGCTGGCGCGGTGGTCGTCGTGTGTGGAGGTGGCAGCGCAGAGCTCGGGGTGGCTCGGGGCAGGCGGGACACAGGCCATGCATGCGGGGGAGGCGGCTCCAGGGGCCAGAATCGGAGCCAGCACCGTCTGGCACGCTCCAAGCTGGACTGGGGACGTCCTTGCACGGCTCTAGCACAAGCACAGTGCTGTGCAAGGGAGCAGAGCCGACCGGTGGCTCCTGCCCTGGGATTCGAGAGACGGCAGCCCCGGGTGCTGCGGGGCGTGGAGACCGGCAGTCACGCAGAGCCAGGCTCGTGGCGAGACAGCGCCCTGCCCGGAACCTGCGCAGACCCTTCTGCTGCAGAAACATCCAGAAGGGTGGACGGGGTCTGGGGTGGGGGCTGGTTTTCATTAGGAGCCTCGCACTTTTGTTTGACTCCACCTTTATGTATTTATTATTCTTACAAAGAGTTAAACAAGCCATGAGTTATTGTTTCTTGCCATTCAAATTAATAAACGTCTTTTAAAGGGACCCGGCCGTGCATGCCGCGGTCAGAGCGCGGCGTCCGAGGCAGCGCGGAGCCACCGGCTCCATGGCCTGCGGACCCCGAGGCTGCACTTTTGGAGTCTCCTTGAAGGACGAGGTTCTAAATCCAGAGAGGAAGCTTTACGCCCAGAGACGTTCGCCGACGCACTGCTGACAGTGGTGGATCCGGCAAGTCAGCGAGCCCCAGGGTGGGGACGGTCGTGCGCCTTCCCGACGGGACAGGACGGAGAGGTCAAGTGAAATCCCAGGTGCAGCGGGGCCAGGCTGGGGCCCACAGCTTTGCAGTGAGTTTAAAGTAAACGTTTTACCTGGTCAGATACAAAGACCGACAGGAAACCACACCCCGGCGTGACAGATGGAAGACGCTTTTAAACCTGAAGAAAATGTCCAGGAAAGTGACCACGCGTCAGGGTCCTGCCACGAGTTTGCCCCCTAAAATTCCTGTTTGGCAACACGGGGCCCTAAGAAGGTACTGACATTGTTCAAAGGGCCGGCGCCTGCCGGCCAGAGGTGAGCTGTCCGGTGACGTGTGTCCCTGGGGATTCAGGAGGCCGCCCTTCCGGGACCCATCCTGGGGAGACGGACCTGGTCCTGGGCACAGGGTGCGTCCCGAGAGGGCCCACAGCAGGCTCAGGAAGGCAGGGCCACGTCTGCTGGACCCCACGGGCGGCCGACTGTGCCTCACCTGCCCAGCAAGGTCGCGGGAGCCTCTGCCGGGAAACAACAGTGGTGACTCGGCAACGGTCTCCAGGCAACCGTCTTCCAGCAGCTGTCTCCTGGCAACCCTGATCCAGAGCCCAGAAGTAAATGTGGGAGGGGAGGGGGCTGCCGTCTGAGCTGAGGGGTGCTGGCTGGGGAAGGGAGACTGCGCAGGAGGGCCGCCGTGTGCAGCCCCCATCACTGCTGGGCCCAAGCCTGGGCTCACTGCCCTTCCTTGCCCCGTCTCTTGGACCCCAGATCCCTGCCCAGCCCCCAGGACCTGGCTGCAGCCCAGCTGGGTTTGCTGAATGAAGAGCTAACAGGGCTTTACCTGCAAATTTTCATCTTCCCCCCACAGCGGTAGGACGTGGCACTACTGCGTCCCCATTTGCGAACAGGAACAGGGGCTCAGCAAGGTCGGTGTCCCCCAGGGGTGAAAGGGGGCTCACTCTGGGTCTGGGACACCTGGAGCCCTGGCCCCCAGCAAGGCCCAGGGGGGGAGGGGAGGGAAGGGAGGAGGGAAGAGGGGCCTCTCCCAGGAGCCCACCCAGCCCCCTGCACCTGGGGCAGAGTCCCTTTGCTGTGGTGTGGGTTAGTGACAAGCAGATGATCAAAGCGCGATTCCTTGAACCACGTGGTTTATTGCCATGTGAAGAGGTTTCTTCTTTTCTGCCCACGTGCTTCCTGAGGGAGGGGAGAAGGTGGTGGGGTGTGCCGACTGCCCAGGCCTGCACTGCAGTTCAGGGTCCAGCTGTGGATGCCCGGCTGCCAGTGGGGACTGAGCCGCCTCCGCGGAAAGTGAGGTGTGTCTTTGCACAGGGGGAGCTGGGACCCTCCCGGCGGGTGGACGGGGAGAGCCCGGAAGCCACAGTGTTGGTGGCGGGCGGTGTGCACCAGGCTCCCGGGCTGTGGTCAGCCGCTCACGGGGGTCTGAGGAGCTGTGACGTCACATGCTGGGGGCTGCTCCCCCAGCTCTTGTCCCGGCAACATGAGCTCCATGAGCTCTGGGGTCACCTGAAAGTCGGCCTTGTAGAGGAACTGCTGCAGAATATCGGGGGAGGGAAAGGCTCTGGGGGCAGCTGCAGGCTGGCTCAGCACCCAGCTTCAGACGGACACTGCGAGGCGCCTTGGTGGGGCGCAGGGCCGGGGCGCAGGGCCCTTGTGGCTGCCGAGCACCTACTTCCCAAGTGCAGGCGACTCACCTAGCCTCGTCCTGCCCCTGAGCCCCAGAGATGGCCCGTGGGGCCCTGAGGAGGGAGAGAGCAGGCCTGCACCCCTTGGGCCAAGGCCTCAGGCACCTCCCAGGGGCCTGTGGGTCCTGGTGCCGCAGGGCTGGGCACAGGCTGTGCCGCTCCTCCCTGCTCGCTTGCTCCTGCTGCCCTGGGCTTGGAAACAGTGGGAGGCCAGCTTGCTTCTGTGCTGTCCTCCTTGGCACTCCCAGCCTAGTGCAGGTGGGCCGGGTGTCCTCGGGGCATGTCTGCAGGCCCCGTGGCTCACGCCTAGGCCCCCACTGTGGGGCCGCGCTGCTGCCCTCCTAGGATGGCAGATGGGGGTGCCTCAGCCTGCCACCCTCATCACACCAACAACCCGCTGTGGCCGAGTCAGGAAGTCCCCCCGGGTCAGG